CATGCAATAAACAGCATTTCAGATCTATCTATTGTCTTCCACAAGTTATGGCCCAATAAGCATTTTGTTTAATACCAGAACTCATCAATTGGGATGGATGATGAGAGACTAAAGATTCTACGTAATGCTATTTATATATGCACTACAAAAGTTAAGGTTTAAACACCGCAAGCTGACAATATATTGGAAAGCATAATTGTACTGAGATGTTGATCATTTTCATACAAAAGAAGGAAAATATCAATAATAATTGCATTTTATACATGTTATTCACTAATTTAATAATGATTTCCAGTACTGTATATATATCAACACCAATTAAAAAGATAACATTTTTTTTACAGTTTTGTTTCAAGTATACAGCAATTATTTTATTACACAAAGCATAAAAGTAGCAGCCCCATTTTACATTAAATATTTTTTGTCAAGAACATATACAGAGATTCTGAAGTCCATTCACGTGTAAATAATTTAGAAATAGAGAAATACAGCAAAATATTGTTTCCAATAATGATATGGAATAAGGTGTTGTGGGCCCACCCTGAGAAAATATCATTGAGGTCATGCAAGGACCAAAATGTCTATTAGAAAGGTGTAGACAATAAAAAATGTAACATTTTAAACCAAAAATTACTAAAACTGTTCCTCAAGAATAACAGAAATAGGGATAAATGCAACAAGAGTAAGCATTGTTACACAAACCTAAGCTTCAAGTGCAAGGTCAGATTTATGGGTAAGCAGGCAAGTGCATCTTTGAAGGGTCGTCCGAAAGATTATAAATACTAGAATAAAAGCTACCTACTTAAGGTAGCACACTGCTGTTACTGTTCCCAAATAATCTAAAGAAAGTTTAACATGGTCCACAGAGTTTTATCAGAATACCCCTGTTGCTGCTGCTAGATCGTATGCTAAATGGTTTCCAGATGAATGTCATCCTTTATATCCAATGATAGGAAATGCGTGTCAATAGCTGTATGCCATAGGTTCATTTACTCATATATGATGTACAAGCAGATCAGAACTAACCAATAATGACAATGAAGCTGCCATATTACTTCATTTGTATTTATTTATGCATATAATTGTTGTTATTTTGCTGGAGTAATTCTTCTAATTTTGTTTTAAAATGTGTAATTTGTTAGAGTCTGCACCTTTGCAACTGTATAATGCATATTAACCCTTAAGCTATGGGTAGGTCAAAGTGAGCACATCACAACCTTTAACAGTTACATTTACAATTCAATTAAATTACTCTATTATCAATGTATATTAATACACTTGCCATCAAAACATAATTAAAAATAAAGTTTTAATGTTATATAAGTTTTAAAATTTTACTTTTATAATGAAACATTTAAACAAATCCTCAATCTCCCCTAGCATGAGAACTGCAAAATTTTTTCTCTAGGTACTCCCTCTTCAATTTATTCACCACCCTTCTCTGAAGTATACAGAATTCAATCTAAATTACTCATTATAATATAGATATTACTCAGGCAAAATCTAATATTTATAGCCTTCAATCTTATTTGTTAACGGAATCATAAAGTAGAAAATCTGACCTATTTCCCACACACTTGTTATATCCTCTCTTTCACAAGTTGCCAATAGTTTTTTCTGATGTTTTATACTATACCAAGAGAGGGGCCAAGTTTTAATCCATGGAATGACATATAATGCTACATTTTTTTCAGTACAAGGTATTGTCAACTTTGTCTTCAGTTTGAAAATTTATCTCGTCGTGTTCAGATTGAGCAGCTAAGGAAACTGATTTAAGCCTCTCTTGTATTAGTTAGAAAACCAGTAAAATTATGATAGTTATAGGACATTGTTTGCCTTATGTGCATTTTATTCTCTGTCTTAGGTGCATTATTTAAGTAAATAAGAATTTAGTGTACTGGTACCATCATTATAAAAAAAAGTAGGCTTAAATTTCATCAGCAACCAAAAACAAAACAACAAGAGGGCAAAGGTATTATATCCACCGTTTTTCATGAATATTTGTCATTTATTGTTACAAAAGTAATTAAAATGTAAAAATTACAAACTTATTAGGTTATACAAGTTTAGATCAGTAAGATAATGAAAACAAAAATCTTCATGAGATATGCTCACAAACAGCTTGTGCATTAAGCCATTCAATAAGATAACACAAGTTATGTGTTTGCTGAGTGATTTGCAACTTGTGTGTTGGGATCATTAGTTAGAAACAGTTTAAAGGGCAAAATATAATAAAACTAAATATAAACATATGCAGCTGTTACAAGTTTTTAATCTATTTAAGATAAATAACTTTAGTTTCTTATTATAATCTGCAATCATTCCAGAAAGATAAAAAAGGGTAGTTTAGATTTCTTTCTTTTTATGGCAATTACAGGATTGGTCCAATTGACCAAATCTGTAAAGAGTTGGAGGTAGAGAAAATAACAGATAAAATATAAAGTTTTACAGAAAACACAATGTTTGGTAGTTATTTAGAAGATTTTAGAGGTTATGCAAATGAAGTTTGAAAATTTTCAGATGAAAAGTATTTCTAAGTTTAACATACAAATTACTCTGCACTCAGAGCAGTAAACACTGTGACTCCATATATTCACAGACGAATCTTTAATAATAATACTTAATTAAAAATTATAATTTTTTCTGTGTACAAAATGCTTGTCATGTTTACTGAAAGCTTGCCAAATTTCGTGAAGATACACAAAACGTATTAACTCTTTCAGCACAGGCTCGGTCACAAGGGCTGACCTCGTAACCATTTTGAGCTTCTCATAGTTTTCATGTTATAACTTTTAATACAGTAAGTGTATCTTCATGAAATTTTGCAAGTTGTCACTACACATTACAAGGCTTTCATATGCAAAATATCAGATTTTTAAATTAAGTTTAAAGATTTTTCAAGTACGGTTTTTCTCATGCATTTTTCTTTTTGAATGTTGACTATCCAACGTGCAGAGTAATTTTGATTTTAAGATTAAATATATTTTTATGCATTAGAAAATTTTCACATGTGAAACCTTTATAACCTTAAGATAATTGTAAAGCTTTTGTTAGAAACAAATTCATATTTTTCTGTTACTTTCACTATTATATCTCTGTATGGGTTTGGTTGATTTGACCAACCTCATAACCACCATAAAAATTTAGAAAATAGATATAAATTATGTTTTTTTTCATTCTAGAATGACTGCAAATTATAACATGAGAACACAAAAGTTTATTCTAAATAGCTTATACCTCATTGCATTATACATCTATATATATTTATTATTTTTATTTTATTGACCTTACAGCTATGCCTGGCTAACATTACAGAAGTTGCAATGACATGGTGCATGTACACTCATGTTACCGTATCCAAGAATATAAAACTGGCCTTTAAAAAATGATCTCTCTTGGCTGTGTTCTAATGGACCAGTATTTTGTAAAATACAGTCACATTTTGGTTATGATACATTATATATGGATGTACATTATTACCATTCACAAATAAGTCTTTAAATTTCAGTTATTTTTCTTAAAACATAGAACAGTAAGTAAAGAAGTATAGAAAACAGTTATCTCTTCTAGTTATGAACTTTGTACTAATTTGCTTCTTGCCATAAGTTGCTAGGCCTTATCAAATTTC